CCCTCACAAAGAAGGAGACTTGGTCGTTGCATGGGCAGAGGGCCTTGAATGGGAGACAAGGTGCCAGAGGCAGAGCAGGGTGCTCTGAGTGAGTGCTGCACCATATGCTGGCCATGACACTGCAGGGTAGTCTGCTGCCGCTTTATTTTTCACATGAAACATGAAAACAAAGATCAAGGCTGTCAGCACATATAAAGATTTCAGAAACCTCAAAAGTTTTCTGTAGCATCTCTCCTGAGTTCTGGTGAGAGCATTTGCATTGCGCTAATCACAGTTCTGCAAATAAGTTCAATATTTGTTCCACACATTTGCGAAACTGTGGCACAATGTTGCCAGTGTGGCAGCATGGTTCTGATATTCCCTTACAGGAGCAGCAACTCAGTCTATGACTAATCAAACAAGAGCTGTATGTGTGGCTTGGATTGAGGTGAGACACAGTGTGCAAATGTTAATCATTACTAAGCCAAAGTTAAGCATTATTTCTGTTAGGTGTATATCTTCTAGTGCAGACAGAAATCTCACTTGAAAGTGTTTCTTTGTTATATTTTTCTTAGAGGGATGCAGATGTATGAATGATTCATATTGCATGTGAAATTATGCTGTGACCTATAATAGCCATTGCTCTATTTTGTTATGAAACCAGATCCAAACTAAATTTAAAATCCAAGTCTGTCTGTAAAATCTACTGCAAGTTTCCAGATTTTGGCCCAGTATTCCCACTCTCCAGTGTTTTTATCTTTTATTTTTCCAGGTCATCTGTTTTATGGAGAAAGAACATATAGCCATCTGGGAGATTAGCATATATATTTTATGAAGCAGAGAAGAGCTCTCTCTTCACTGACTCAGATGCTCAAGACCCAGATTTGCAGCCTGCCTCCTAGCTAGCACAGCACAGTTCATAAAGCTTCTGTTGCCAGTGGCTTACCCCTCTCCCCCTCATCAAGTCAAGAACAAACCTACACTAAAGTGATGTTGGAAAAGCAGTACTGTTCTAAAGTGGGGAAAAAAACCCCAATCTAGCTTTACAGCCATGTTGAGAGGCAATTTTTAATGATAAAAAAATCCATTTGTCAGTAAAGCTTACATTGTTTGAGTAGAAATTATCAGCAATTGATCAAACAAATCTGGCTACTGGAGTGAGGCTCATCTCCAGAGTGGTATGTGTGGCTGTATCTGGGGATATAGGCATGGAACAGATCTGTGGTATGTCCTCTGAAATGTATAAAAGCCAAATGAGAGTGCTGTGTTAATTTAATATGCAATATAAATTACCACAGGATGTAAAAGGAGCGAGCTGCAATAAGATGTGCCAAGGGGCATCTCCTTAATTTTTTATACTTTCTTATTGTGCTGGTAGAGACGTGCCGTCATTGTAGCTATAGTTGGAATTACAGTATGTTTCTAGTACTGCAGTGTAGTTGGACTGTGCCCACACTGTCTCCTTTTTTTCTGGACATTCCTCTTCCTTTTGTTTTTTAACACCATTCTGGTTTGTTTTGGTTTTTTCTTTGCCTTTACAGAACGCAGATACTAGGAGCCTAGACTGCCAACATTTTGATATCCAGTTAGATTTGTGACTATGGACTGCCAAGTTTTAATAAGTTATAGAGCTGCTAAGTCCAGAGGTAGTCTGCACAAGCCTCTAGAAAACACAGGACAAAAGCCGAGATTCATAATCCTAAATTTGTATTAATAATGATACTGAATAAGCAGAATACTTTCCATTGCTTCTTAAAACAAAGACTGGGAATAGACTGGACTTTTTGTTTACCATCTAATAATTTGTTGGTACTTTTAAAATGTAGATGCAAAAATGTGCCTGAATTAAAAGCTTTGGTTCAAAGTTCTCAGTTTGAAGAAAGTTTGAACTAAATTCAGAGTATCATCTGCATTTTGCAGGTTAGACTGTTCTTTTGAAACACATAACAAAATCTTAACATAAAAAAAAAAACACTTTAGGAAGCAGAGTGTGTATTCAAGCACAGACTTTAGGAACTGGATCTGTTATAGCCAGAATCTAATTCCCATTATTCAGATCTGCTGCATAATAATGGGAACAGATACAGTCTTATTAGGAAATGTATAAGAAAAAAACTTTCAATGTAGCATTTGGGCTATATATTCATCAAAAAGGCATGCACCATTTAAAAAATCTGTCTGTATCTTGCCAATGCTAAAATGTCATCTTTCAGAGACTGCGTGCAGACAGTCTTTAATGTTCTTTTCATCTGCCTTTTGCCAGTTACTGGAATATGAATTTAACATTTACTGACAGTTCTATTTACCTTGCTGTTAAGAACAGCCTACCCAATCTGGCCAGATCTTTTAATTCAGAAACCAGTTTCTGACATGGCTGGTAAAAGATGCCAAGAGAAGTCTATGAGAGTGGGAAAATCCTATGATGGCTCTTTGGAGTACTTCCCTGGACACTCCAGGCACAAACAGCTTCCTGAGCCAGTCACACCACTTCTGTAGAAACAAACATATAATCACGGGAAATAAAAAATAAAAAAAAGGGGGAAAAAAGAGAGAGAGAGAGAAAAAAAGGTGTCTTTTGAGAAGCAAAGCTGTGTACTTTGATATCAAGGCATTCCACAAGATGGCAGGGTTCTGTCTTGGCAGGTCACTACAGCAGGCAACCTGAGCTCCTACAGTAGCAATTTTTTCCTATCACAGTTTTCACCAGTAATATAACTCTCTACTTTAAAGTTATCTGTGCTCTACAGCAGTGATCAAAATAAGTGGCAAACAGCTGAAAGACAGGAGGCCTCTATTTTCTTATGTCTCATTTTTTTTAATATTACAACATTTATAGCACCGTATTAATGTAAAACATTATAATTTCTCGCCGTGTGAAGTGAATAAATAATTTTTTTCTACATAAAATTAGACAGAAAATTATTGCATGCAACTGCAATTACTTTAATTAGGAACATTAATGGCAGTCTTTCACATTCCATCTCAGTAATCTATTATTTGAACTCCAAACCCATAAATACAGCTATTTGTTACTCCTTGTCTTCATGATCAAGACCAGGTAACCTAAAGATGGATGTTCCTGAAAAAGCCAGGTGGCTGTCCCTTTCACCTGCCCTGCTTCCTTGTGCTGGCTTTAATGTCTGTGTGTACAGACCTAATGCAAGGCAGATCAACCTTAAAAGCTGATTGAAAACTAGCTGCTTTTACTCAGAGGCTTAGCTTTCAGCTAGATAAATGAGCTGAAATGACTCCACAGCCACAGTCACTAGTGTTGCAATCACGAAAGCAGGTCAAGCATGTGACAAGGGGCAGGAAAGTCCCTTTCAGCAACAGAGTGGTATTGGATAAGCTTACACTAATTGTGAAAACACACCCTTAAGTAACAAAGGAATAGTGGAGAGGATGCGTCCTCAGTTCTGCCCTCGCTGACAAGAGGCATTGGAGAGAGAGGAGAAAACCCAAAGCTCAGTTCTTAGACAAATTCAATTGAAAACTTGTGCTGAAGCATGTCTAAATCTTGCATGTGTCACAGTGAAATGTTAGTTCTGACCTCGACTGGACATGTTTTGGTCTCTATTTGTGAAATAAGGATACTAATATACCAGCTCTTTCTATACCATGTTTGTTTGGCTTCTGTGAGAAATAAAGGCTCTGAAGTTTGGGGAAAAGAGAGAGAAAATAGAATAATTGTAATTCCCAGTAGGGTTCTCTGCAATACTTGTTACTAAGGTTCAGTTGAGAGCAGCTGTATTCCCAGAGTAAATGTAAGTAAATTCAAATATTTTACAAACAGTGATAAGGATTTTGAATGAACTCAGAGCATGTTACATTTAAGATCTTCGTCATTCTATTAAAAGCCTAAACTCTATAGGGGCTCCCTATAAAGGCACAGCATAATGCTAATGCAAGGATAGATAAATAGACAAAACCACAATGCACAAAATGTAAGAATTACTAGGAGCTACTCTGTACATAAACCATCCAAAGGTCTCACTCGGGGATGGAGAATTTTTTAAAAATCCGTCTTGCAGAGAAGAATTGTGTATTTGCATTTAGTAAACAATAAAGAATAATGAAGCCCTGCATTTTATGTATAAGTGTGAAGACATCAGGTGTGGTCACGGTACTTGGGCTTCTCCTTTGGCATCAGTGGGCTTTGTTATGATGAAGCATGAACAGAGAATTTTCATTTCCAGTTTTGCCACTGGAATTCAAATGAGGATTAAAAAAAAAAAAAAAAAAGGAGTGCAGTGTAAAGAAAATCTCCCAGTAATATCACCAAGTGCAAACAAATTCCATTGACGAGATCTGGTGTCTCCACAAGCTGTGAAAACCCTGGCAGCATGGAGAAGGCATTTTGGATTTTCAGGACGGAGCAGCTACATGCTGATTGCAAGAGTGAGAAGTAAATTCTGTTAATTTTTAACAGAGGCATTCAGCAGGGATACACCCACGATAACCTCGTGCAGAAACCATCTCACCACGTGCTTGAGTTCGGACGGGGTATGGAAGTCAATGGCCTGACAGAAAACAGAGGCTCTGTCGGGTTTCGAGCCCCAGCCCGCCCCCGGGCCCGCGGGGCAGTGGCGGTCCCGGTGGGCAGTGGCGGTCCCCGGTGGGCAGTGGCGGTGCCCCAAAGGAGGACACCGAGCCCGGGGCGGCGGGGCCGGCCCAGGTGTGCGCCGCCTCCGCCCGCCACCAGGGGGCGCCTGCCCGCTCCGCCCTCGGGCCGCCCCACCCCGCCCTTGGCCCGTGTCATGCCCCTTTCTCCAGCCAATGAGAGGCGGCGGGGAAGGCGGAGCTCGGAGCGCGCGACCCAATGGGAAGCGAGAGCTGACCGCGCGGGGGCCAATCGGGGGCACACCGGTGAGTGCGCGACTCCGGGGCCGGGGGCCGGGCGGGGAGGGGCGTGGCCCAGGGGGCGCGGGCCCTCAATCAGGTGAGGGCGGAGCTGACGGGCGGCGGCGGCGGCCAATGGCGGCGCGGGGGCGGGGCCTGCCCTGCCCACCCCTCGCGCCGCCGAAGCTGCCAGAGAGTCAGGTGGCTCCGGGATGTGCGGCGGCGGCGGCGGCAGGAGGCGGAGGCGGGCACGGAGGAGGCGGCGGATGGGGGGGATGCGGCGGCTCCTCCACGGCACACGCTGCCTGGTCTCGCCCCTGCCCGCGCTAGGCTGAGGCGGCCCCGCGCCGGGAAGTCCCGGCAGCGGCACCTGGTGCCGGCGGGCGCCGGGCCGCATGAACAATAGGCGGCGGTCCCGGCCCCGCCGCTCCCCGCAGCGCCCGGCTGCCGCGGGCGCCTCCCCCTATGGAGCAGCCTCGCCATGGAGCCCCTCACCGAGCTCAGCCAGGAGGGCGCGGGCGGCGGGGAGCCGCCGGGCGACGGGCCGCTCTGGACCGCTGTCTTCGAGTACGAGGCGTGCGGCGAGGACGAGCTGAGCCTGCGGCCGGGGGACGTGGTGCAGGTGCTGTCCCGGGACTCGCACGTGTCCGGCGACGAGGGCTGGTGGACGGGCAAGATCGACCAGCGCGTCGGCATCTTCCCCAGCAACTACGTGAGCAGCGGCGTTCCGGGGGGCGGCCCGGAGCTGCGCGCCCGATACCCGCCGCCCCCCGCCATACAGCGTAAGGGAGCCCGGGCCCGGGCGGTGCGCGGCGCGGCCCCTCCGCCGAGAGGGAGGGAGCCAGGGGAGAGGCCCGGTCCTGCCCCCCTATCGCGGGCTGGAGTGGGTATGCGAGGGGGGAAGAGACCGGCGGGGCTGCCGCGCTTGTGGCGAGACCTGAGGCTTGGCCTTCCCGGTGTCCCTGGGGAGGGGCCTGGCCCGGTCCGACTGTCCCGGCCCTTCCGTGGGTCCTGTTGGAAGCCGGTGCCGCCGCTGAGGGGAAGGGAAGGCCCATCCCGGTGGCGAGCGGCCGTGGGAGGCCGCGGGGGCCTGCGATGGCCTTCGGCGGCGAGCGGAGGGGCTACAGCGTCTCAGCCCCCAGCCCTGGGGCCGCCCCAGGCCCCGGTGCGTTCCCTTTGCTACCCGCGGAGGTGTTCCTGCTGCTCCAGTGCCCTTCTGTCTTCCTGGAAGGCAGAGCTTGGCTCGGTGTGTTGGCGTTTCGGCGACGCCGGGAGCAGTTTCCCATTGTTAAGACCTGTGTTTCCAGGGGCTGGTAAATTTTCATCAGGAGACAAAATCCTGGCGGCTGGGCAGTGGTGGAGTCACCAGGGCTCTGGTTATTCTGTCTTTAAGAGTATTCTTAAATAAAGGTTGCTGGGAGGAAAGCAGTTGTTTTCTGAAGTCTTGATTCACTGCTAATACTTGTTCAGTATTATCCTACTTACTAACCAAAAGCTTTTAATTTCTGACTGAAAAATTCCTAAGTTGACCTGTGTTACCAGGTTCCTCTGCCCTCTTAAAAATTCTGTCCTGAAATACCTGTGAATGAGTTGTATCCACGTTTGGGTATCTGGGCCTGCCTGAGGGTCACTTGACTATGTTGTGATGCTGAAGGCACTGAGACATTGGTTTGTTTCCCTGAATTTCGGTGCAGTTTTGAAGCCTTTGTTGGAGACAGAGAATAGGGCTGTTTCATCTCGACTTTTTTTAGTCACTATGTACAATTGTGGAAAGAGAAACAACGTGGAATGACTTTCTAGATCCTGTTTATCTATCACCATTGACAATTCAGGCAAGGATGCTTTTATTTTTTTGGAGGGCAGAGAAAGATCTTCAGACTAGTAGGCTTTTCTGGAAAGTAAAAGAGTGAAAAGATGCTTTGTCCTATCTAGGCCGTATCTCCAAGGAGTACAACTAATAGCTTTTTTTTCTTACTTTGTATTCTGCTTGAAAGCATTTAGGTAAAATTCATAGCATTGCCCTTGGGCTTGTGAAAGGACTAGGTGCTATTCCTTTCTTTCATGCTGCAAGAGCACTGGTAAGTTATTTTTTTCCCACACACAGAAAAAGCTGTGAACGAATGTTTATTATGTTTTGCTTTTGAGATGCTTAGGAGAACCATTTCTATAGAACTTTTTGAACCCTCAGCTCCTATCCTGTGTTGAGTGTTCAAGTTCAGGCTTTGTAACTGTGGAGTCTCCTGTCTGGCTGCCTTTTCTATGATTTGATAGCTGACCAACAGCTGTGGAGTTGTACCTTCCCCCTTTGTCTTTGCCTTACTCTTCCCCTGCCCCTACAGAACTACGCTACTTCTCTTCTGTCAAGTCACCAACCATATGTTCATGACAGTGTAGAATTTATTGTCCTCCAGAGGTTTGTATAATGCTTAAGGAGTATGGGGCTTTTTAAAAAACAACAGTGGACAGGGGTTAAAGTTGTTTGCCATTGAATTGGATTTTCAAGTTGAGTATTGAAATCCTTTGCAAGGAATGCAATCCACTTTTAGAGCTGATGATGTTAGTTTGATAGCTGTTTGGAATAGGAATCACCATCTACTGTTTAATTCTTCGTAGTCCAGTAAGTCCAGTTTTGCAGGAGTGATGCAAAGTGTCATTCTGGACATGCACCTCAGCACAGAACCTATTTTTGCTTGATTTCCTAAAGTTTATCCATATATTTAATGAAAATTTGGGAGTATAAGTCCTAGAGATTCTGTTTCTACTGAGAGCTGTCCTAGTTCAGCTGGTAATTTTAGCCATCCATGTAGTGTGCTTGAATCTTGCCTTGGTGAGGATACCATGAATGATAAAAAATAGCCTGTAGTAGCTCTCAGGAGTGGGCCAACTTGAGGGACTCTCATCTGTGCTGTGGGTTCTTAAACACTTAAGACTGAATTAAACAGTTTAATCATATGGTCTAATAAGGGCTGATTAAACAGCACCTACTTTGCAGTTGTCAACATGGCCACTGGTTCATGGCATACAGGCTCTGTAATTCCTTACCAGCCCACAGAGGAATGAGAGCACTTCAGTTCTTGAATTCTGTACAGTCCTATACTTCACATCTGCCAAATGACACTGGAGTTAGTGTGTTTAGAAATGTGACAAAAAGCAAGTATTTTGTGTCCTAATGTACCTGTATAACTCAAACTATGAAAATGAATAAACTAATTCAGCAGAAAATACCTTTTAAAAATCCTAAACAAAACATTTTTAAAAATCAGGGTGTTTTTATGAGTAAGCTACCCACCAGAGTAAGCTGGCCAGTTTGCCTTAGAGAAGTATGCATTTTCAAACTAAACTAAGGTCGTACTTCCAGATAAAAGAACATTCAGTGTCTTGCATTAGATTTCATGTGGAAGCTGAAGTCTCTCAGCTTTACATCCCACCCCTATTAATTTGCGCCTCCAGCAGGGATGTGCTTTTTCTGATGGAAAATGGGTGTTGGCACATGAAGTGTTCTACTATCCAGCCCTTCGGTTTCCTTTGCCCATCTCGTTCTCCTGCCTGCCACCTTCCTGTCGCGCTTCTTCCCAGCATCGGGAAGGTTGTGTGGAGGGGGAGGGCCGGGGCGCTGCCCGTGGGGCTGTCCAGTCCCCGTCCCGTCCCCGTCCCCGTCCCCGTCCCTGTCCTGTCCCGTCCCCGTCCCGTCCCTGTCCTGTCCCCGTCCCGTCCCTGTCCTGTCCCGTCCCGTCCCCGCTGCCGCCGGAGCTGTCCCTTCAGCACCTGCGGGCCGGCGGGCGGCTCTCTCGGCGCCTCCTTGACGTCCTCTTAATCCGTGAAATGCCCGAGCAGTGCCCGCTGTGAACAGCACCCGAACGCTGTCTGTCCGGAGCTGGCAGGGCAGGAGATCACCCTGCTGGTGTGGGGTGCGTGTTTGTTCATTTCCAGCCTTTTAACTGGCCTTGTGCCTAGGAGCAGGTTAAGTGAGGATTCCAGCAGTGCTGAAATTCTATTGACTGAAGAGATAGGACTCAACATCTGATTTCTTTAGGTCTTTTACTAGTGAGAAATACAAGAGTGACTCTTGGTGTATCCTCAGTGACAGGGTAGTCTCACATCTGGACTTATTGTCACTGCAGTCTTGTTCTAAAATTTCAGTGTTTCTGGTCAGAATCTACTCCTTTCATGTTTTCTAGTAATCTCTGTCTCAAGCATTTGAACACCAAGGTTGCTACTGTAGCACTGAAATCTTCTTTGTTGTGCAAATCCTTGAAGCTCTGAGTGTTACCCAAAATATGTATTCACAGTAGCAGAAAAATAAATTCTCTTTGTGTTCTGAACTGGAAGAGACCTTTTCTCCTTCTGGCAGACTTTCTTGGTCAGTTTTCTATCTTGTTTCCTGTTATCCTTTTGTTCATGGAACACTAGGAAAAGCAGCAAAGGCATCCTTATTAAAGTAACTCGTAGGCTTGACTAACTTAATAAAGTAAGCCAACTTCTAAAAATCATGTTCAGGAAAGATAGATCTCAGACAAAATAAAAGCCTGCAGCTGTGGATAGAAGAGTTTGAATTAACTCTGTACAGTTTTGTGACAAAGTCTTGTACTGTAGGCTTATACATAGGAAAGGCATTTGATTGGAGTAAGGAGACTAGTTTATTTAAGTGGGATCTAACCTGCTCCCTTACATACTTAATTTCCTTTCTGCTAAACAAAGCAGGAGAACCATGGTAAATTTGGCATTTCAAATGCAGGAAAGTATTAAAAGATTTGGTGACTTTTTGTTCAAATCTTGCATTATGGTACTCTATCTTGAAAACTTTTTAAAATTATAGTCATTGACTATAATTGATAACCATGCAAATGTCATACATGGTAGCATCAGTGGTAGCCTTCCACTACTGTAAATTCAGCTGTGTCAACCTGTTTTCATTGGTTAGTATGTGGAATTTTCATTCTACATTAGTCAGTGTTGGTTGGGTTCTTTTTGCCACCTGTATAAACTGTGTTTAGTGTACAGTTGTATGGGATAATTTTCTCATTGCTTTTGCTCCAGGTGCAGTTTGTGTGCTGAGTTGAGACAGCTGCAGCTGTAGACTTTTTTGTGTCAGCCTGTTAAGTATAGCTGTCAGTGTATGGGAATAGGAAGTTTTTATAACAAAAATGCAGTATGCATTAATCAAGAAATGTTTTTCTTATTGCTTGCTCTGCACACTCAGTATGTGGTTTGATCCATCTGTTTGTCACACTGCTGTTGGTAATGTCAGAACTGGTTAACAGATCTCTTGTGGGGAACAAATCTGCAAAGCCTGGAGAGGTGTGGAAGAATAAGTGTGATTTGGGAAGGACTAAAAGATTGTTGTGGCAGTTCAACAAGAGACATTCAAAAAAGGGACAAATGGAGAAGCAGATGCATTTTGTGTTGAGTTTTAGCTATTTTACATTAAGCACTGTACTGTGAACACAGCGAAGATTAGTTGGTGAGTGTGTTTTTCATTTTCAGAATCTGGTACTGTCACTAAGAGTTATCCTTAAGGGGGGTAGGGGCAGGGGCTTCAGTATTATAAGGGTTTAACTGTTTACCACTATCACTGAGTACTTCATGCCAGTTTAATGACACTGCAAGGCCTGTTTGGCAGTGTCATAATACTATTCAGCACTGAAGGGTTGTCAGAAAGGCCCACTTCTTTCCTTTGTATTGTTTTGGAGTGAAAATTGGCCCTTCCTCCAAGGGCAGGGGTGAGGTCGGCCAGCATGGACTGATGTACAGACTGCATAGTTGCTGAATGCTTACATCTTTTTTTTCCTCTTTCCCTAGTCCTAGAGATCGACTTCTCAGAGCTTGTTCTGGAAGAAATCATTGGCATAGGGGGCTTCGGAAAAGTGTATCGAGCTATATGGATAGGAGATGAGGTTGCTGTCAAGGCAGCTCGCTATGACCCTGATGAGGACATCAGCCAGACCATTGAGAATGTCCGCCAAGAGGCCAAGCTCTTTGCCATGTTAAAACATCCCAACATCATTGCCCTCAGGGGCGTGTGTTTGAAGGAACCTAATCTTTGCCTGATCATGGAGTTTGCCCGCGGAGGATCGCTCAATAGGGTGCTGTCTGGTAAAAGGATACCTCCTGACATACTGGTGAACTGGGCAGTGCAGATTGCCAGGGGAATGAACTACCTGCACGAGGAAGCAATTGTTCCCATAATTCACCGTGACCTCAAGTCCAGCAACAGTAAGTGCTCCACAGTGAACAGTTAGGGTTCTGGGATATGGTTTTGGGGAAAAAGTCATACAAAGAAAAGAGGGGAGTAATGTTAATTTAGTGAACCACTGTATCCTCTAATTCAATCCCAGAAGGGTTTATTTTTATACAGTATGGTGCTACAGATCACAGGAAACATGCTTTCCTGTGTAAATGTTTTCAATCTGTAGAAGCAACTTAAATAATCGGATGCAAAAGCAACTGTGAATGAACCATGCTTTGGTACTAGTTCATATTCATGTAGTGTCTAGGTTTTATTGGCATTTCAGCAGACTTCTGTATGTTAGAAAACCTTATTGGACTTAGAATGTGTATTATTCTTCCACTTTTTGAAAGAAGAAGTGCTTCTTTGTAAGGGTGAATGCTCCTAGGCTTTCATTATACTTGCTAGATTTGGCTGTATAGATGAGATGCAAGCCTGTTTTCTTTATGGGAGATTTAACCCATCCCAGCTGAATTGGATCTTCTCTTTGTCCATCGTGGAGCTGGTGTTGACAGAAACATTAACTCGTGAATAAAATGTCCTTGTACACCCAGGACTTCAGCTGATATTTGTGATGCTTTACATGATACAGCTCACCCATTAGAGAGCAAGGGGAACTGAACTTTGGTAGTTAGGATTGTGGAAATCATGGTGATTTCAGCTGCTCTGTAATACTGACAGCACTGCTGTGTGTTGCTTGGGTGCTGTTCTCGTAGTGTGTCTCTTTTCACAAACTTTAACATCTCAAAGTCAAACACACACGTAGAACATTATTTATGAGTGTGGGAGCAAAGTGCTGCAGTGGTTTAAAGATCATAATTTTCTTTCCTGATGCCTGTATGCAGCTGTTTAACCTTTCTCTCTGCTTGTCTGTGTCTAGATGGCAAGAGCAAACACAGACCTGCATGTTGGATGTGGTGGTTCAGATTGGTGTGTTAGTATGAACTTATTGTCATTTATGGCTTGAGTTAATAAGAAGCTCTGTGAACTGGGTGGCTGGGATGCAGGCATATGTTCCCATTTGCTTTGAGGGTAGGGACATTAGCAAAGAGGTCTGATACATGGGAATTTTAATATCTTAAATAGATTCACTAGCATAACCATTGCAATGCTGTAAATTTCCAGGCCTTGCAGTATCTTGCTATGTTTTTTTGGCCTCAGATATTGTGGCTGTGAATTTACTTAGTTGGTTGTGGAAGAATAAAAAAAAGTATTATTAGTTTTTGGTAGTGGAATAATAGGAACTATAAGAGCCTTCAAGTTAGTTTCTACAGTATTGTTCTTACAGTAACAAAGTTTCCCATTTTGATAGAGTAAGGCAGTCTTAATGTCAATAAAGATTTCCTGATGTCTAAACCCTTCCCTTACAGATGGCAAATATATGGGCATGTTAATAAATATTGTAAAATTAAGGAATGATTTGCTGCATGACTTAATGAATGACTGGCTGCATCTGTGAAAGAGAAATAATTGCCTTTCAGTGTTGTGCATTTCCTCCTTACCTAAGAAACTATTTACTTGTTTATTTTGCTAACAGGCCATTGAGATTTCCTTGCTAAGTGCTAGTTGAACATTTTTGAGGTTTAGAATGAAAGTTATTTCTAAGATAAAAAACTGTTAGCTTGTAGTACTTCACTGTTTTATTCAGACCAGAGACTTCTAGTTGTAAAAGGGGAAAGCTTCAGCAAGAGAACCAGGCCACCCAGAGGGACACCCAGTACACAGTGTTGCCATCCAGACAGATATGGATGCTCGACAACATGTAGATTGTCAGCAGCAGGAGTAAATGTCTCTTGTTACAATGAATCAGCAGAGTGTAATTGTGCTGCACTGTAAATGGTCAGTGAGAAGTTCCTAAATGTATTACTATAATTTCCATAATTTGGGAGGAAGCAATAGTAAAGAAAGGGGAAGAATGAGTGAGAATACCTCTGAAAGGATTCAGAGATGTTCTGTGTTTGAAGGGGAAAGATAGAGAATTTACATGGTGGTTGTGACTAAGACAGTATCAGATCTAGTAGAGAAATGATGGGTATAGGAAAATTCTATCCCAGATAAGGCTGGAGCAAGCACTATTACATTTGGGAAACTAAGTGAATGTAGGAGCTGGTACTGGAGGAAAGGACTTAAGATATTTTTAGGAAAAATTATTGGTTTGTTTTCCTCTCTTGAAATTTCATAAATTAGTAGCCTTGGGCATGGGCTTGGCATATTGCAACAGCTGTTTATTAAACAAAGTGAAGTTCCTCATTCTGTGCTCTGTGGTTGAAGAGAAATTTAAAATATATGCTATTTTAAACATTTGAAATACATGTTATTTTCTGAGTGTATCTACAGAGCAATCATTATAAATATTAGACTATGACAATGGTGGAGCTTTTTTGTGGGGATAAGGGATTGTAGGATGAAAAACTCTGAGCTGCCTAAGTCATGTCTTTTTTGATTACTCTGTCACTGCATTGCTGAAATCCCTTTTCTCTTATATATAATAACCATCTTAGAAATTTCTCTGCTCTGTTTCCTGTGGAAAGCTTTATAGTAGTTTTGTAAAGATTACTGGGCTGAGTATATTATTGCATCCTGATTAATATATAGCTTGCATTTTATCTGTTTTTCTGATGAGCTTAGTTTTCTTAATTACCATGTTTAATGGAGAGCAGGTTATCTCGTAGGCTTTGTGCCTATAGAATTACAAGCTTGTAGCATTTCCTTTGCACAAGCTACCACCCACTTGGTGACAGGCAGTGATGTGTCTGTGGTGAGGAAGGAGGTTCTGCTTGCAAGAGCTTGGAAAGGATTCTTGCAGATGCATTTCTTACGTGTACTGAACGTCTACAGGCGCTGCAGAGCTGTCATGGGAGCATCTGCTATATTGATCTATTGATTGGTACTGCCTGCGTTAAGTAATAGGTTGTGATTCTTGTACATCTCATCTTGCCTTCAAGCACCAGCTGGGATGTACACAGTGCATCTGAAACTGCAGGATGAGTTAATTTGGGAGGTAGAGAACAAGATGGGGCAGTGGGAAAGAGCAGACTTGCCTTATTTAAAATCAATTTTTCTACTAGAATAGAAGAATATCAGAGAATGCCTTTTTGTCAGATGTCTGCTTATATTTAGGCAGACACAGAATGCATCAGGACAGTACTTCATGGTGAATCTTTTAAGCAGGTCACATTACATTTTGAACTTATCAAGTGGGCACCCTAATGCAAGTCTGACAAATTACCCCATTATATAAGGATTAAAAAAAAACCATCCTTTTTTATTTAAACTGTTGCAGTTGGTGGACTCAGATATTATGTACCAAAACAACACGCAGAATAGTTGTCAACATTTCTGGTAGTGTAATAAAGAACATAGGGTTTTGATTACTCTAGGAGATAACTTCACTTTAGTTCATCTGAACTGAACTTCAGATGATTATTTGAAGATTCCAGCAGGTGTCCCTTTCTTGAGATACTCCTCATCAAAAAGCACTCCCAATCAATTGTCTGTTATCAGTCTTTTTTGATGAAAAGAAGGAAATTTTTTTTGTTCTATATTTTTAATTTTTTTTCTTCTGTATATTTTCATAACTTTACATTTAATACTAATACATTTTGAGTGTAGGAAAAGTGCTCTCTATGTTTAATACCATGTTTGTTTGAGGAAGATTTATTGTAAATCTTGGAGGTTCTGAGGGCTGCCTGTTTTATTGCTTTGGTGATGCAACGAGGAAATGAGTACAGAAAGGTCTTTACAGAACGAATTCTAAACCTCTAATTTAGTTTTAGAGAGGCTGAAATTATTTTCTTGAGTCTGAGTTCAGCTGGCATTAAGTCTGGTAGACAAGTGTTCCAATGGCATTACCAACTCATATGTTAGAAAAAAAACATTTGGTTCTGCTGTGTGAGGAGATAAGCATTTCTCTTTTTATTTGGGCATTTGATTTAAGGGATTCAAGTTATTCCATATGAAAATTAATCTTGCTAATCTGACAGAATCCCCAGTGGCTGCTGCTGCTTCTCTTCATGTGCTGATATTTCCAACCTTTCCTTCTTCAGCTGCACATTGGTGAGCCATTGAGCATATGCTATGGAATCCTTAGTAGGCCTTTCCCAATGTGAAAGTACCTAAATAATCTAAATGCTGGGCTGTAGGAAAAAAAGCAACTAGAAATGCCCACTGACATCAACATCACTGCACTTAGAATAGCTCTTAAGAGTTTCCCTTTCTTTTATCTCTCATCTGTGATTCAAGTCTTATTTCTGGCTAGAGAAAAGTGCCTGGCTTAGGCACTTAGGATGAAAAAGAGACAGTCCTGTTGGTTTTAGTGAAGTATTGTAAATAACAAAGTTGGTCCCATTTGTCTGTCAGTGTTAGATATGCCAGCATTGCTATAGGAATAAAGCAAATTAACTAGTACTGTGGAGAGCTAGCAAAAGCATATTTGATTATTTTTTGACTGTCTCAGCAAAACATATTTGTTATTTGCACTACACTTAAAGATTTTGCTGAGGGTGTTCATGCCAGTTAGCAAAGTGCTTTTTAAAAGTCATCATGGTTGTGTTCCACAAAGTGGCACAGAAGATTAGCAGCAAAGTGACATCGCCAAGGTCAAAGAAAGAGGAAGGGACAGAGGTCAAAATAAACCCCAACAATTCTGATTCAGCCAAGTCAGTAGTTTTTCCTTTCAAGTTATTTGAAGTCTTTACCTCTCGTACTTTTTGGACCACCAATGTAAGCTTATGGTGTCCTGAGATTCAAATTTCTGAAAGAATTCCAAACTCTACTATAAGCTTTGCTTATTTAATGTAGTTAAGCCTTTATCTGTTCGTACAGATGCCAGTAGAGCTGACTCTCCATGTGGTTTATGGATAGTTGTTCCTAGGACTTAAAATATTCCTTGGGTTTTTTTATTTTAATCCAATCACAGTTGATACTTTTCTGTTGGTCTTTTCAGAGAAGGAAAAGTACTTGTAAACCTCTTCATCTGTCTGGCAGA